TATATGAGTTAGTGGGATCTCTCTTAACTCATGAGTTCAAAATGCAAGAAGGAAAAGAAGAGGATGACAATAATAAGAAGAAATGAATAGCCTTCAAATCCCCCTCGAAACATTAAGAGGATGAGGAAGATGATTCGGATGATGATGAGGAAATGACATTCATCACTAAGAAGTTCAAAAGGTTTGTGAAAAATAAATAAGGTGTGTGAAAATTTTTCAGAAAAGATTTCAACAGTAGGGATTTTTAAAGGAGAGAAAATCACAAAAAATCTGAAGTTACATGTTACGAATGCAACAAACCTGGACACTACAAATCAAACTGTCCGGAACTTAAGAAACAATTCAAGAAAGATAAGAAGAAAGCCATGATTGCAACATAGGGAGAAGATAGAAAGCGACTCAGAAACCGAAGTTTGCAAAAATGAGGTTGCTAGCCTATGCTTAATGGCACTTGGAAATAAAGATAAGGTAAATGACGAATCTTTTACGTTTAATGAATTACAATCAGCTTTTGATGAATTACATTCTGAATTTATGAAAGTTAGTTTGAAAAGTAACTGTCAAAGGAAAGTGATTTCAAGTTTATCAAAAGAAAATGAATCCTTAACTTCCAAGATAAATATTTTAGAAAATGAAACCATGAAAATGAAAAAGAAAAATGAGATTTTAACTCGAAAAAAGTTTTCAATTTCTGAGAAAAATTAGTTGTATTATAAGAAGAAAATGAGTCTTTAAAAAAGAAGCAAATTGTTTTGAAAGAAAATATTGAAGACTTGAAAAATACTCTTTCAAAATTCACTCAAGGTAGAGAGACTTTAGATAAAATTCTTAAAAATCAAAATCGTACTTTTGATAGAGCCGGAATTGGATATAAACCTTTTTCAAAATTGAAAATTACCAAAAATGGTTTTGTGCATGCATCTTCTAGTCACGCTCATCTCACATGTCATTTTTGTGGTACAAAAGGTCATATTTCACCTCCATGTCCTGTTAAAAGAAATCCTTTTGCTAAAATAAAAAAGATGTGTGTCCCTAAAGACATTTTAAGAGTGTCAAATTCTAACTTTTATGGACCTAAGAAAATATGAGTATCAATAGAAAAATCAAATTTTTGTAGGTATGTTTCAAGATAAAATCCAGTAACAATTGATGGTATCTCGACAGTGCATGTTCGAGGCACATGACTGGAAATAAAGCTATGTTCACCACACTCCAACCAAAGGATGGCGAATATGTGACTTCTGGTGACAATAGCAAGGGTAAAATCATAGGTGTAGGTAGTCCTGGTAAAAATCCTTCTCCTATTATTGAAAATGTATTACTTGTTGAAGGTTTAAAACATAACTTGCTTAGCATTAGTCAATTATATGATAAAGATTATAGAGTTATTTTTTAGAAAACTCATTACACTATTGAGAACACCCCAGAAAACAAAACCTTATTTGTAGGTTATAGATATGAGAATGTATATATGTTTGATTTACATGATTTATCTTTTTATTTTAACATTAAATGTTTATCTGCTATAAATAACAATGGTTGACTTTGGCATAGAAGATTAGGACATGCTCATTTTGATTTAATTTCCAAACTTTCAATAAATGAGTTAGTCAGTGGTTTACCAAAAATTGTTTTTGAAAAGACAAACTTTGTGATGCATGTCAATTTGGAAAACAAACTAGAATTTCTTTTAAATCCAAAAATATCGTTTCAACTACTAGACCGCTTCAACTGTTGCATATTGATCTATTCGGACCATCTAGAACATTAAGTTTAGGAGGAAAATCTTATACTCTTGTTGGTGTTGATGATTATACTAGATATACATGGGTATTATTTTTAGCACACAAAAATGAAGCTTTTTATAATTTCTCAAAACTTTGTAAAAGAATTCAAAATGAGAACAAATCTTTAATTTGTAGTATTAGAAGTGATCATGGTAGAGAATTTAAAAATGATGATTTTATAATGTTTTGTGATGATTTAGGAATAAATCATAATTTCTTAGCCCCTAGGACTCCTCAACAAAATGGTATGGCTGAAAGAAAAAATAGAATTCTTGAAGAAATGGCTCGTACTATGCTTTGTGAGAATAATTTACATAGATATTTTTGGACTGAAGCCGTTTTCACTGCATGTTATGCTGTAAACCGTGCCATGATTAGACTTATTCTTAAGAAAACTCCTTATGAACTTTGGAAATGTAGAAAGCCTAATATTAGTCACTTGCATGCTTTTGATTGTAAATGCTTTGTATTAAATAACAATAAAGATAACTTAGGAAAATTTGATGCTAAATTGGATGAAGTTGTATTTCTTGGTTATTCGAATTCTAGTAAAGCTTATAAAGTATTCAATAAAAGAACCTTACTTGTTGAAGAATCTGTACACGTTGCCTTTTATGAATCTAACAACATTGTTTCCAAGAATCTTGTAAGTGATTACACTACAAAAACACATTCAAGAATAGAAAGCATTTACATAACAAATGAAAAATCCATCTTTTGAACAAAAAGAAGAAATCACAATGAGAAATCTTCAAGAAAAATATGCTCGTCCAGAAAACGAATCAAATCTACCAAAGGATTGGAAATATGCTCATGGCCACCCTAAAGACCTTATCATAGGTGATGCATTGAAAGGTATAAAAACTCGTTCCTCTACTAGAAATGTTCGTGGTAACTTAGCATTTGTTTCACAAATTGAATCAAAATCGTTTTTAGATGCTGAAAAAGATAAAAATTGGATTTTAGCAATGCAAGAAGAATTAAATCAATTTAAAAGAATTGAAGTTTGGTTCTTGACTCCTCGGCCTAAGGATTATCAAGTTATTGGAACAAAATGGGTTTTTTGAAACAAAATGAATGAATTCGGAGTCGTTACTAGAAATAAAGTTAGATTAGTAGCTCAAGGTTATAATCAAGAAGAAGGTATTGATTTTGATGAAACTTTTGCACCGGTTGCTAAACTTGAAACTATTAGAATGTTACTTGCTTTTGCATGTTTTAAGGATTTCAAATTGTATCAAATGGATGTTAAAAGTGTTTTCTTAAATGGGTACATTTCGGAGGAAGTTTATGTTGAACAACCTCCCGGTTTTGAAAATCATAAATACTCGGATCATGTTTTCAAACTTTCAAACGCCCTATATGGTTTAAAATAAGCTCCTAGAGCATGGTATGAAAGATTAAATAATTTTCTACTTGACAAAGATTTTTCAAGAGGAAAAATTGATACAACATTTTTTATAAAAATAAAAATGAAGGATATGCTAATTGTTCAAATTTATGTTGATGATATTATTTTCTGTGCTACTAATGAAATTTTGTAAAAAGAGTTTGCTAAAGATATGTAGGGTGAATTTGAAATAAGTATGATGGAGGAATTAAATTACTTCCTCGGATTGCAAATTAAATAAACTAAGGATGGGATCCATTTAAATCAAACGAAATATATTAATGATCTATTCAAAAGATTTGAAATGGAATCATCAAAACCTGCAATAACTCCAATGAGCACATCAATAAAAATCGACAAAGATAAGAAAGGTAAACCAGTAGATGAAAAGAAATATCGAGGTATGATCGGTTCCTTACTCTATCTGACTACCCGACATAATGTTTAGTGTTTGTATGTGTGCACGTTTTCAATCTACACCTAAAGAGTCACACATTACTGTAGTCAAACGTATTTTTAGATATCTTGTTGGCAAGGTTTTCAAAGGCGTAGATAAGGCGCGACTTGAGGCGAGGCGTACGAAAAACGCACAGATGCGTTCTTTTTTGGGTGAGACATCAGCTATGCGTACGTCTTAAATGCAGAAGCGTAAGCATCTGTCGCGTTTTATGCGCTTTTTACGCTTTCGACAGCGAGACACAAGCTTTTGAGGAGTTTGATTTCAAAAATCAAAAAAAGGGAATCGATAGAGTATTTGATGGAAACTCGCTATAAATGACTTCGATTGAAACTGAAATTGCTCAAGAAGAAGATATAAATGCCATGTAAGTCGATATTCTTCAATCAGAGTCCCAACAAGTTCGAATCAGTTTTCAATCTTCTCCAACGAACTAGGGTTTTCCATGTACGAAGTCTCTCTCTCTTTCTCTCAAGTTGAGTCTCTCTCTCTCTCTCTCGTTCTGTTTTCTGTATCGTCTCTCTCTCTTATTCTGTTTTCTCCATCGTCTCACTCTCTGTCTCTCTGTTCTCGTTGGTTCCGTCTCTGTGTCTGTATCACTCCACTGAAACTGTGATGGTATATATCTATCTATTTGTTTCTGCAGAAACAAATATCTTGACTAGCCCACTATACACTCTAATATATAATATTATTATCATAACTTTAGCTTCTGTTGGCTAGTCCACTAATATATATTATTATTATAACTTAACTTCTACTTTTTTTAATTTATTATTATTATTATTATTATTTGATAGACTTTAATCTCTTTGTTGACTAGTCCACATTGTGCACTCTAATATATATTATTATTATTATTATTATAACTTAACTTAGCTTCTGTTGACTTGTCCACATTGTAGACTCTAATATTTATTATTATTATTATAACTTAGCTTCTATTTTTTTTAATTTTTAATTATTATTATTATTTGATAGAGTTTAATTTATTATTATTATTATTGTTAATATTGTATTCTTCTTTTTACCATCTCATCTAACCAATATCATTTTTTGTTTTTATTTGTTTATTTTTAAATAGTGCTACTGTTGATAAGTTTGTGGAGACAAAAAAAAAATGACTGAACCCAAAGGCTAAAGAAAAGATTTTGTTTGGAAGTATGTAAAAGAAGTTGATGGGGAAAAGTATTTTAGATGTAAATTTTGTGATCAAACTTGTAGTGGTATTGTAAGTCGATTTAAAAATCATCTTGCCGGTATGCATAAAGGCATTAAACCGTGTTCAAAAGTTCCTAAAGATGTGAAGTTGGAATGCCAACACGCATTAAAAAATTTCTTTGAGCAAAAAAGTGTCGGCAATGAGATGCTATATGAAATTGGAATGGGTGCAGGAGCAAAGGGCGAGAGTGGTGTTTCTCAATCTATTGATGGCAATACTGGTAATATGACACGACCACCAAAACCGAGGGGTCCAATGGATAAATTTGCTAGTTCTCAAGCACGACAATCTACACTGAACTCCAAATGGAAACAAGAAGAAAGAAAAGATGTGTGCTAAAAGATTGGGCGTTTTATATATTGTAAAGCTCTTCCATTTAATTTAATGAATGATCCATATTGGGTAGCTGCAGTTGATGGAATTGCAAATTATGGACCTGGGTTCAAACCCCCTTCTATGCATGAATTGAGGACTTGGATTCTTAAAGCAGAAGTAAAAGATATAAATGTCATGATGGAGGAACATAAGAAAGCATGTAAACAATGTGGATGCTCAATTATGTCTGATGGCTGGACAGATGGGAAAAGTAGAGTTTTTATTAATTTTCTTGTGAATAGCCCTGCTGGAACTTGGTTTTTAAAGTCAATTGATGCATCTGATACTATAAAAAAACGGGAAGTTGATGTTTAACTATCTTGATAGTGTCATAGATGAAATTGGGGAAGATAATGTTGTTCAGGTTATTACTGATGATGCTTCAAACTATGTCAATGTCGGGTCGAGACTTATGGAGAAGAGGAAAAAGTTGTATTGGACTCCATGTGCTGCGCATTGTATTGATTTAATGTTGGAGGACATTGGAAAATTGAAAGTCTGTGACCAAACTCTCTCATTATCTAGGCAAGTGGTCAAGTTTATATATGGACATTGTTGGGTTCTTTCAATGATGAGATCATTTACAAAGAACAGTGAACTACTCCGTCCAGTAGTAACACGGTTTGCCACTGCTTATCTTACTCTCCAAAGTCTTTACAAACAAAAGCAACCACTCCAAGCTATGTTTTCTTCAGAAAAGTGGGCTTCTAGTAGTTGGGCAAGAAAGGTTGAAGGGGTAAAGACTCGTACAACTATGTTGTATCAAAAGCATAATACCTTTGGTTAGTGTTTTGCGAGAAGTTGATTCAGAGGAGAGGCCTGCTATGGGTTACATTTATGAGTTGATGGATTCGGCTAAAGAAAAGATTACTTTCAATTGTGGAGGAAATGTTAGAAAGTACGGACCAATTTGGAATAAGATAAATGCAAGGTGGACACCACAACTTCATAGATCTTTACATGCTGCTGGTTTTTATCTAAACCCTCAGTTGCACTATCGAGATAGCTTCTCCAATGTTGAGGAGGTGAAGCAAGGATTGTATCAGTGCATGGATAGAATGTTGAGTTACGATGAGCGTCTCAAGGCTGATATCCAATTGGACTATTATGACCAAGCAAAAGGGGAATTTGGAAGTCGTGTCGCAATTGATTCCAGAGCAATATGCTCTCCCGATAAGAAACTAATATGAAAATAATTTTCCAATTACATTCTTTAAAATTAAAATACAAGATTGAAATCATTTGTACATTTTTTAAATTATGTAGCTAATTGGTGGATTCGCTTTTGGAGCAAAACACCAGAGTTAACAAAATTTGCTATTCGAATACTTAGTCTAACTTGTAGTGCTTCGGGATGTGAGAGGAATTGGAGCACCTTTGTGCCGGTAGTATAACTTTCTTTCCAAAACTTTCTTTTGCATAAAATAAAATATTCATATTTCTAACTTGTTATATTTCGTTTCTTATATTATTATATTAGATTCATACACAAAAGAGGAATAGGCTTGAGCACAAACGTTTGAATGCTTTGGTATATGTGAAGTACAACACTAAACTAAGAGAGAGGAGTATCAAAAGAAGACAAAACATCGATCCAATACTAATTGATGAAATTGATTTGGATGATGAATGGATTGTTGAAAAGGAAGACCATGTCCTCCCTCTTGATACTTCTTGGCTTGATGAAGAAGAATTGTTCGATACTGAAGCAATTAGGACTGTGCCTATCACTACCTATGATAGAAGTGTGGAGAATCAATCAACTACGACTACGATTAATGTTGACTCATCTTTGAATGAAAATAAAAGAAAAGTTGGTGAAGGTTCAAGTAAGTTGTTAAACAATTATGGACGAGTTGCAAATATGTTATTATATGTGCCTATTTAATTAATTTGAAATCCTATTTCTTATATAGGAAATGATAAAGGAAAAGGCAAGGTAGCAAGATGCACCCTTGTGGATGAAGATATGGATTTGGAAGAAATTGGTGGAATAGATGATGGAACCTATCCCATTATAGATATAGCGAACGAAGATGATGACAGTATTAATGAGGATGACTTAGAGTGACCTATTATTTATTTATTGCTTTGTTTATAGAGTATTAGAGTTTAAGTTATTTTGTTAATTGAACAATTGGAATTTAAGTTATTTTTGACCATCACTTAAGTTATTTTTTGGATTATAATATTAATGAGAATGACTTAGAAAGCTCTTACAATACTTGAAATTATTTATTAATTTTGGTTTTATGCTTAGAATGGCTGTTAAGAATTTCATTTGGTAATTCTTTTTTTTTTTCACTCTTTTTATGCTATATTTAATTAATTTTGTATTTTATAAAAATAAAAAAATTCAAAATTCAAAAGGCTTACGCCTCGCCTCAACAAGGGTGAAATGCCTCGCCTTGCACTTTCGCCTTTAAAAACACTGCTTGTTGGTACTCCAACTTTGGGTTTATGGTATCCTAAGGGAACTACTTTTGAACTTTATGGTTACTCAAATGCTGATTTTGCGAGATATAGACTTAACCGAAAAAGTACTAGTGGCACTCGTCATTTTCTTGGAAACTCTCTCACATCATGGTTTTGTAAAAAAAAAAAAAAATTCAATAGCTCTGTCAACTATTGAAGCAAAATACATTGTCGCCGCTGGGTGTTGTGCACAATTATTTTGGATGAAACAACTACTTCAAGATTTTAGACTTCACTATGATCATATTCCTATAAAATATGACAACATAAGTGCCATTAACCTTTCAAAAAATTCTATTCAGCACTCACGCACTAAACACATTGAAATAAGGCATTATTTTCTAAGAGATCGTGTACTCAAAGGTGACATTAAACTCGAATTTGTGCCTACAAATCGTCAATTAGCTGACATATTTATCAAATCACTTAATAAAGAACAATTTTGTTATATTAGAACTGAACTTGGTATGATGAATACTCCTATATAATATTTATTTATTTTTAAAATAAATAAATAAATAAAATTAAAATTAATTTTATATATATATATTTATATATTCTCTCGCGCTCTGGTTTTCTCTCTCACCCACTCTGTCTCTATTTCACTCGCTCTTTTCCTTACTCTCTGTTTTCTCTTTCTCTCGCTCCCTTTTTCTTCCTCTTATCCTTAGATAGCGTCTTCATCCTTACCATCGTCCACTACCAGCTCCACCATCCACAACATCATCTATCACCTTCATCACTACCATCATTCACCCAAATTCTTCACCGACTTACCAAGATCTATCACTACTCTACTTCCATCACCGATCTTCAACATCATTTCTGATTTATCAAGATCAATTACCGATCCGTCAGGATTAGTTACTGATCCACCAAGATCCATCACCGATCTACCAAAATTCATTACCAACGATCTTCTTCATTCTTTCCGATCATCAAGGCCATCGCCGATCAACATGTTAAAATTATTTTTGCACTGTGTTATATTTTTTATCTTGTTGTATGTACTCCAAACTCTCTTAGATTTAATAATGATTGTTTTTACCTTATCTAAAGAAATTTTTTTTATTTGTATTTTCTCTTTTTATGCTAGTGCACTTGGTGCAGTTGTTTATGGCCGAATCTTAATGGCCTTTGGTATTATAGATTGGTAATCCGTTTCTTCCAATTTATGTAATTTTTAGTGCATTAATTTAGGGGAAAACTCATATTATGTAATATTTTGAGATTAATAATAAAAAAAAATTAAAGGTGTTTGTATATCATGTGCATAATTTTAGGGAGAGTCTATATAATTTTTTTGTACTCCTTATCTGCACCAACCATTTTTTTTTTTTTTTGCAAAGACAAAAAAAAATTTATACAAAAAGAAAGAAGGGAGAAATGCTTGCAATTTTATTTCAAAATGAGAAAATATTACTCGATTACATGTAAGTTTTCAGAAGGCTTCACAGATTTTTTTCGTTTCACCTCTCTCAATAACTTTTCATGAGCCTCCTTTATATGCCTCTCTCTATTTTCGACTTCTATGAGTCTTGGCATTATAATAGTTGCATAATATTGCACCGCATTCTCCAACTGCAAATTTTTTCTTTCTAGCTCTCTCTTCTCCTGACGAATGTTAACAAGTTGTTGTTTTAACAAGCACACTTCATCTCTCCATTGCTGATTTTCTTGTATTCTTACTTGTAGTTGTCGAGCCATATTGTAAACTACAGTCATTGCCTGTGTACTCAGAGCCATAGTGTTATTAATAGTATCGATATCATTCCGATTACCAATACACTAGGAGCCTCATTTACAGGAATAGCGTGTGCCTACACCATTGGTAACCTCTCATTTGTCTGCATTACAGGCACCTTGTGCATGTCCGAACCATTGATGGCTAAGGTACAGAATGACATGATTACACAAGAAGGTAAAACAAATTTTTCTCTTCAACATTTGATAATTTCGTCTCTTTGCCTATGATCCTTATCACTTTTTATACACTCTATCAATCCAATACTAGATGTATATCTGCTCAAATCTTTTGTTTGTTAACATTTTGTGCGCTCAAGATGCTCTAAAATCTCCACAATGATTCCGACAAGACAGAAGGACCATTATTATATTTTTGGCCTCTCAAATTATTTTATCAAATGTGTTTGTTTCCTCTCTTCATATTTTATTTTGATGATGTTAAAGGGGGAGAAAAAATATAATTTTGAAAATTATATATTGCAGAGTTATCAGACTTATCAAATATTTTGTTGATTTTAATTTTGTGTGAAAGTTATATGTTGCAGAGTTATCAAATATTTTGTTAATTTTATTTTGTGTCAAATCCATACAAATATTGCCATCATCAAAAAGGGGATATTGTTAATCATATTGTTTAATTTTGATGATGTCTAAAATATTATTTGAAAATTTTGAATTTTTTAATATACATATTATTTGACACAAGATATTATCTGTTTAAAATATATATTGTATGATATATTTGTTAAATATTATTTAAATAAAAAAAATTACTATTCACTTTTTGAAAAATTAGGCTGATTATTATTATTCTTTTGACAAATCTGATATTGATTGATTGTATTATTTTGATAAGTTTGATATTGATGAGTTGTGTTCTTTTGACAAAAGTGATATATCCACATGGAGTAGTAAGTTATGTTTAGTTTAAAATATCTATACAAATTTAGAAAGGGTATATATGTTCAGATCTATTATAAATATTACTTAAAGAGATTTTACTATATATGCAAATATTTTTTTAGAATATTATATATAATGCATATAATATGAATAGAATACATCACGTGAGCAATTAGATTTTTACACTATATTGATTATATCATATATATATTACTATAATAAAAAATATATACATATATATATATATATATGTGTGTGGAGCAAATCATTCCATATCCTGCCTGTTTGAATTCAGAATTCAAAGTTGTGAATATTGTATTATATTATCTATAATGTTCACATTGCCTACAAAAGAAAAAAAAAACGGTGGCTCCATGTTTGAAAAAAAAGAAGGAAAAAGATGGTTTGAATTTAAAGATGTTCAATTTGCCTTCAAAAGAAAAAACGGTGTCTCCATGTTTGAAAAAAAAGGAAAAAGATGGTTTTACTTTTATCATTTTTTCAAACATTATCATTTGCTGTCTATTTGAAATCAATGAGCGTGCACATATCATCCATGATGTCAGCAAGGAGCATCCTACTTCCAACGGGTATATTTTTTGGTATATATAGAAGTATTGTGTGTGGAGAAAAATCAAGAAACTTGAAGAGAAAAAAATTTCTATGTGCTCCAAAATTTTGAGTATATTATATTTTGCTCTTTCACTTTTAGATCTAAGTGTAGCTTTTGTTCTTACACTTTTATATCTACTCTTTGTGAGAGAATTATTATAAAAGAGGGTTTAAGTACCACTTATTTTTATTTATTATTTTTGTGAGAGATTTTGGTAACGTTAAGGCATTTATTGTTGAGTGAGGCTCAATAGATAAGAGTAAGTCCTGTGCAAAATCCACAAACTTGGTGAACACTTGGTGGTGTATTAATTCATTTTGATAATAAAGAAATTCTTAAAGAGGTTGCTTGGGGCGTGGACGTAGGCATGGCATGCTGAACCACTATAAATCTCAGTGTTTGATTTTTTCTCCCTATCTCTCTTACTTTTATATTGAAAATTATTATTCTATTTTTTATTTTTTAAAATTCTGAATATTGTGTTTATAAATTTTAATATTATAAATTTTTTTAATAACCCAATTCACCCCCCTCTTGGGTTGCCTACCAAGGATAACAGACACCAACCGATCTAGAGCATGACGCTCTTGTTGGTGTATAGACCGGTCCAACTGGTCCCTTTCCCTATTGAGCCGGCGTTCCTCCTCCCTATCTCGTCTACATTTTTCTTCCTTGCGTAGCCATCGTGCCTCTTCTCTGTTATTGTTCAGCCAACTTTCTCAAATCATGCGGCCGCTCGTCGTAGCGACAATGAAAGGTTTCAGATAGGCGGCTGACAATCCTTTGCCTTTTATGAGAATCCTCTCGTGGGTTATTTTTTTGGAGCGTATTCGTCGTACTGCTGGCCTCTTCACTACGTATCGGAATTGGCTGGCTACATTCTCTACGAGCAAGGCCACAGCTAGAGTGCTCTTCATGAGGCGGAGGAGGAGGAGGGGTACGTCTCCTTTGCGATGGTCTATCAACGGACTTTCTTGGCCTCGCTAGGGTCGCCTTGAACTTCATCAATTTTGTGCGAAGCTTAGTGATCTCCAAACCCATTGAGTCGATAATGCGGTCATGATGGTCTTTCTCAACAAAAAGACGCTGAGACGACTCGACGGCAATGACACGGTGTCGCTCCGCTGCGTTGGGTGTCTGATCGTCATGGTCTATTAGGTCATTGTGCGCTGAGGGAAATGCCAGACCCTTATCTTTGGTCCTTTCCGTCGTTGGAGTCCTCTCTGCTTTCCCATAATGGGGTGTATCTTTGATGCCCATCACCGGAGTTCGTTACGAAGCAAGCAGTGGTTTTCCCACAGACGGCGCCAATTGTGCGGGGGTGATTTCCATAC